ACAAGGCGGGCAATGGCGACAAGTCGCGCTGAGCGTATGTCGCAGCCTGTTCAAGAAGGGGGGTATCAAAAGCACGGCGGGACGTGAAAGACGGTTTGTTCTCTCGTAAGGCTTCGAGGAAGAGCAGGAGATCCAGATGAAAGAGGAGGGGCACACCGTGTCCAAATCTCGTCTTTGCCAGGCTCGTCTCATCCGGGCTCGAGGATGCGGTCATCAAATTTTGGTGGGTTGTGAATCGTCCGTTTGGCGGGGTAGGGTAGGGGAGAAAGGCCCCGCCGCGACCCCCGGAGAGAACAAGTACTACGTGGTATACGTACGGTGCATGTAGCCTGTGCGCTACAAGGCTCTACATATCCTCAAGCTCACCCGCCCTATGAGGAACTCCCGCGTTTGGCGGCGGTTCAAATTACGGAGGAGAGGGTATGTCCTCGACTACAAAGGAGTTATGAGCAATAAGCTCACATGACCTGTGATCTGGATATTGGCGGTCAAGTCGCGGAGAATTGTCTGTTAGCACATGTCAAAACCCAAACACCCATTGCGTCTTGTTAGTGATGTTAACATTACGCTGCGAACAGCGCCATGCTGGCATTGGTATAAAAGAGACACGGTTCACCAGGGAATTTTTGAACCCAGCTTATGGAGTCTTTCGGTTGTAAGAATATGTGAGTCCATCGTTCGAATTTCACTTGCTCGTTTGAAACATGGGTAGCATGATGGCATGCCGTTGCTTGTCTTGGCGGGAGCAACAACGACGCCTGATGCATACTGGAGGTATCAACCAGTTAAATTAGCAAAGCGTTCCGAAAGAGACTGACCGCGACCGTATGATACCGTCACAATGTCACCAATGCCAACTGACCGAAAATGAACCAACAAGCGACGAATGCCCGACCTTTCGTAAATTCATAGAGAACATCACTAACATCAAACTCTCTCGTAGGCACAACTCAATGGGCATAGACAAAGCCGCCAAGGCATACAGACATGGACTCAAAAACACCAAGCCACAGAGAAGGGCCCAGGCCAGAGAGAAAGTCTCTGCAGAAGCCGTAGGTACCTACTTGACTCGGGCTTTTGCGTTCAAGAGGTGCCTTGGCTCCGTTGATACTGTTGGCTGCAGGCTAGTGACTCAACCGCCTTGTCCGGAAAGCCATGACTGCCTCAGGCCGTCACCCCCCCAGCGAGCGTGGGCTTAGCCTGGCGCGCCTTCGGGCTACGCTTCCCAGCACGGTACGGCCACGGCAGGCACGCTGGCCGGTCCCACTTTTCTTCTCTTCCCAGCACCAAGGTGTCCGACTACGCTACCTACACCTCCACACTCACCCGTGCACCACCCAATTCTTCCAGCCTCCACCATACCTGACATTTTGATATTCACGTCTTCATCCACCGCGATCCCTCGCTACCCTGGCATACACCAGCCACAACCCCTGAACCATCCTCCCGTACCCCCTCCTCGCCTCAAGCTGCCTGGAGGCTCTAATTCATGACTTGTAAGTGCCTTGCCCTTGCCCATTATCCTACCGGCCAGGCCTATTCCCCATTCTCGCCAGCCCGCCGAATCGACCTCGGCGCTGGCTGTACGCGACCGCATCATCGCGTCCAAATAACTTTCCGATACTTCGGCTCTACTGGAAATTGATGAGCCTGATGATTCTCGATGATCTGGATACGACCGTGGGCTTGCGAAACCCCTCACACGTGGCCCATCACGTCAATTGCTGCTTCGCTGTCTGTCAGCCTCGCCTTCATCGAAGACCCCCCAAAGAATGCGACGAGAAGGATAACTCCATCATTTCCGGATGTTCCTCAGTCCCAAGAGCGTCAATCCAGTCGCCGAGTCTCTGACGAAACGGCTTCTAGACTCTACCGGTCCTCGTCCTTGTCGGAGCTTCGCTAACGTCTTCTTCTGTTCAGCGGGCAGCCTCGACTTGTACCTCCACCATGTCTAGCCCTCTCCAGAACGGCTCCTCGGACGGGCATCGATCGCCTCGAATGTCCTCCGCCTCCCCCCGCGTCGCGAGCCCCCGCCGAAGCATCAGCGAGACCTCCGATCAGCAAGATGACGCGGCGGACGCCCCGTCGCCCTCGCCCGATGCCGAAGACTCGACCATGTACATGAATGGCGGTCATGACTTTGCCGAAAGTAGCCCTTCAGCCGATGAAAACAACGCGTCAGATGATGCCGACTTCGACATGGATGACGATGCTCCCAATGTACAGAGCGACGGCGCTGTCGACGCGTTGTCTAGCTCCAACGACTCCCAAAGGCCTACAAAACGAAAGGCTGGTGTCGAAGTTCAAGAAGACCTCTACATCAAGGCCAATCCAGAGCTGTATGGTCTGAGGAGAAGTGTACGATCCTTCCAATTGATGCTCGCCGCGATTAAGCCGTGATTAACATACCTTGCCAGACGCGACCAAGGGAGCAGCGCAAGATCGTAAGTCGCCAGCCTACTCATCCTTCGCATCGTCGCTAACATCAGACCAGGTCGATTCTGATGACTCGGAATCCGATGTGCCTGTCAATCGGAGAAATGTCAAACGGCGACGTGTGGAAACATCACAACGCTGTAAGCCTTCCCGTCTCGCCTAGCTTCTCCCACCCTCTCTTCCTTGCTAATCAGCCTGCCCGCCATCCAGCCTCGAAAGTCAACACCCCTATTCGACAGGCATCAGCCGACGATTCAGACTCGGACAACTATGGTGGCGCTCGAGCGAAAACTCTGCAAAAGAAAGCCCGCCGCCAGCGCGAGGCACAACCATCCTCACTGTTGGCCGAGAAGAGGTGGTCCAGTCGGCGCGCTGCCCAGACCGTGCAACAAGGCGGCTACGAAGAGAGCGACTTCGAAGACGAAGAGACGAGGCCGCACAGGACGCTCAGTACTACGCCCAGAGCGACACTCCGCATACATTGACAAAGTCTTGCGGCATCGTCT